TTTTTTTTTTTTTCTCTCTGACAATGTATCACGTGTGTTTTTTCAACAATAAGAGGTTAGTCTTAATCCAGTAATTTTTATTTGGTCACGATTGTCAATATGGAGCAAAACCAACAGTGTTTTTAATGCTTTTTTGTTTCCCGAAAGAAAAAAAAATGCAACTCAAACAAAAAAAAAAAACATTGTCAATATGGAGCAAAACAAGTAGTATCTTTTTTCATTTCCGAAATGGAAAAAATGCAATAAAAAAAAAGAGGATGCGAGGAGGAGATGATATCTCTTATAGAACGATGTAAAACTTACTTGTTGATTAATTCAGATTATCTTGTTGATTAGTTGACACTACTTCGTTGGTTCACGCTGGAACTACGAAAGTGGTCAAAACGAGTAATTCATAATTTTTGTTAGAAATTTTGTAAATATAAAAAACAGTACGTTTTTTAGGTATTTGAGTGATTTCTTCGTAAAATATACAAATAAAAGCTCGTGCAAGTTATTGTTACTCATGAAGCTTTCCTATTTTTATACCTTAATGTCTTTGATGAAAATTTTTATGCTTTAGTGTTAATTGAGACTACTCGCACGAGCCAAGTTTCATGCAAACTGTTTAATTCGCCCTAGCGAATCGTAGACATTTTTGAAAGATTCAAGTCATGTCTTGTCGAAAAACATGCTCGCGATCGTCTTGACATACGCGGCTGAACGATAATATGTGTCGCCTTAATCTAGTAGACACATGTTCTTTCTCGTTTCGAATTGTCCAAAGAATGTGACAAGAAATACAAAGTAAATCACGACTCAGTGCTCGGGATTGTTCGAACGCTTGCTGCGCAAATCGTTTAATCGAGATGATATGGTTCTCTCGGACCAGACAGTTCGAAGTCGATCTAGCCCGCGAAAATTACTTATCCGACTTGATGATCTGCGATCATTTGCCACGCGATTGAGACGGTGGTGTCCAATTTTACGCGAACATCGCGAGTCGGCACGGAGGTGAAACGTCGAACGTCGACGAAGCGTGAAAGAATTCATGGTTGAGGATGGTGTGGCGTTCTTCGCCTTCGGTGAAAGGAAGAAACAGGTGCGGAAAATAATCGAGGAGCTGCGCTTCCAACGACTACTTCTCACCTTATACACGTAGATCTGT